TCTCTGTGTACTGTAACTCGGTGTAGCTGTGTGTCTGCTATACTGTCACACTACATGCTGTGTGTCTGTACTATAGTGTAACTCTGTGTCGCTGTGTCTCTGTGCTGTACTAACACTGTGTAGCTGTGCCCCTGTACTATACTGTAACACTGTAGCTGTGTTTCTGTGCTGTACCGTAACACTGTGTAGCTATGTCCTGCACTGAAAAACTGTGAAGCTGTGTCTCTGTGTATTATAACTGTGTAGCTGTGTCTCTGTGCTATACTGTAACTGTGTTTAGTTGTACTGTGTCTCTGTTCTGCATTGAAACACTGTGCAGCTATGTCTCTTTGCTGTAGCAAAACTCTCTGCAGCCCTGTCTCTGTGCTGCAGTGTAACTCTGAGTCTCTGAGTCTCTGTATCTATGTGCTGTAGTGTAACCCTGTGTAGCTGTGTCTCTGTCCAGTACTGTAACTCTGTGTAGATGTGTTTCTGTGTTGTACTGTAACTCTGTGTCTATGTGTCTCTGTGCTGTACACAAACTCTGTCAAACTGTCTCTGTGCTGTACTGTAACTGTGTAACTCTGTGTCAATGTGCTGTAGTGTAACACTGTGTAGCTGTGTCTCTCTGCTATACTGTAACACTGTGCAGCTGAGTCCCTTGCTGTAGCGTAACTCTCAGTAGCCCTGTCTCTCTGCTGTACTCTGTGTAGCTGTGTCTCTGTGCTGTAGTGTACCTCTGATGACAGTGTGTGCTGCACATGGTCCATTACTTGCTTCCTCTTTGTCCGCAGGCTCCTCCAGTCCTGTAGCCTGATCATGTCAGGTCTCAGAAGCTACGCAAGGCTGGGCCTCGTCAGCACTGGGATGGGATACCCAGGTTTGGGAAATCAGTGTTCCTCAATGCTGACTCAACGGTGACCGGTGGTGGAAGGTCTTGTACGTAAGATGAGATGTTAAATTGAGGTTTTGACTACTTGATCATTAGATTGTTAGGAGTGTCCTGACTGGATTCCGGTCTTGCCATGCACATTCTGGATTTCCTGATGTGCCTCCCTATGTAATGTGATGATGCACCGTCTTTCTTCCCCAGTTTCTCTTTTTTCCACCTTATCTTTGAGTAGGGCTTCTGGTGCAGAATGGCTGCGGTGTTTCTCAAAGGTGGGGCTGAATTTCACGGCTCGTTACTCCCCCTCTATGTAGAGTGTTTCAGGCCCTTTTGGATGTTAATATATCTTTCTTCTGCATGTCCTGACCGTCACAAATCCCAAACACAGTGGACTGGACTTCTCACAGACTACTTTTGAATGTCAGTAGAATCAGACATAAAAAGACAACTATTAGTTTTATGTTTTCTTGTGGTGAAAATGTCTGTGATCCATTAAGTGTTCGTAGTGTTGAGATCTTCACTTCAAGAGGCAATAAAGACAAGAGAGTTTCAAATTCTGCCCTCTGGTGGCTGATGGCTGCTTAACGCTTTATCAGATGACTTGTTCTTCATTGCTCTGTTGGATAACTGGAACCAAGAGAACGAAAGTAGGCCAAGACCACATATACCGTTTTCAATGTTTATCCTACACCCCATAGCTATAGGATTGTGCACCTGGATGTTCTCCTAATGAAAACATACTCTTGGTAAATCCTGGTAAAATCTGTTGCACACTGTTGTACAAGAAAGCACTGTGAAAGTGGGTGAAACTCTGCTCTCCTCCCCACTAAGAGCTGGTCTGTGGGGTGCGTACTGGTGCATCATCCAGGTGGGGCTACACACTGGTGGTGGTGGAGGGGATCCCCATTACCTGTAAAGCGCTTTGAGTGGAGTGTCCAGAAAAGTGCTATACAAGTATAAAGAATTATTCTTATTATTAGTGGTAGTAGTATTATTATAATCATCATCATCATCCTGGTCATCATGACTCTCCTCTGTACAGAGGTGTGAGGTAGTAGTGGTAATCCCTGGGCAGACTGTGCTGTTCCCCAATATCTGCCTGTACCCTAAATTTGTAACATCAATCATAAGTTAATTTACCGGTGGTATACTGGCTCTGATGACCATCATTCACTAGGAATGACAACACCCAAGATGAAAGGGTCATGGAGTGAGATTGTGGCTTAACCTGCTTGGCTGAGGGCTGACCTCCCGTTCACAGGACAAGGAGACCAGGACCCCCCTGCAGGGTGAGCAAGGGGCAGCCACAGAGGTGGAGATGGAGTGGAGGTGAGATGCAAGACACATGCGAGAGAGAGAGGGATCTCGTAGGTTTTTATAGCGTTTGGGAGAGGAATGGATTGTCAGGAGCGATTGCTAATTACTGACAGCTGAGTCTGATTGAGCTCGGTTGTTGTCATCCCTTCTGAACTTTTGTTATAAACTCCATTACAATTCCTCTGGAAGAGCTCAGTAGATGAAACACTGTAAAAAGACAACATACAGACTTTTTTCTTTAGAGAGTTTAGACCCACGAGTACAATGCCCCATTGCTTTCCTGTGAGAATAAGGAGTAGACATTGTAGAACTTACCGTGATAAACAATGCCATGGAACATGATCACTTCTGAAAGACCACCTTGTGACCTACACCAGCCCTGAAATCTGTGTGCATCTGTTGTTCAACTTCCTTGTGATGAGCACATGAACACGGTCTAAAAATCATCTGCTCGTCATCAGCAATAGCTTCGTTTTGCAGAGAAGGTGGGGCTTCAGGAGAGTATTTCTGAATATTTTTAAAGACATGCATTTCGTTTTCAATGACATAGGAGGCAAGCAAGTGTGTGACCTGTGAGTGCTCATTGCTGTGTAGAGAGCCTTGAGTCACCATCAAAATGCACTCAGAACTGTAGCCACGCAGACACACATAAACGAATAGCCATCAAGAAAACAAACTGTAACTCATTGTGCTCATGAGTGCCATAAAAACTTCTCCACCTCCTAAAACCGTACAGCAGCTGCCTGCAGACTCAGTCCTTCCCTAAAAGAAGAAGGAAGGTATCAGGACAAACGTTTCTCTCCGTGAACTCCAGATGTCATCTGAATGGCAGGAATTTGCTGCATGCAGGCTAGAAGACGAAATAGGTAGTTAACTGCTAGAATCTGATTCTGAAATCTAAACAATTACACAAATATCGTGTGTAAGGACATCTGAACAGGGGTTGACAAGCTGCAAGAGCAGCATCACAGTATTGCAGAATAACTATGAGATGAATAGCAGACAGTGACAAAACTGTAACAGACCTTATAATAGAGAGTATCACATTGTTACAGTACAGCAGACAGACAGTATCACAGTGCTCCAGTGCAGCAGACAGACAGTATCACAGTGCTCCAGTACAGCAGACAG